TATTCAATATCCTTTATGGTAATTTTAGTTAAAAGTAGAGTTCATATAAGTTGTTTTGCCAAACAACTTATTTATAAAAAAAAAAACTTATAAAAAGTAAATTTACGAAACAACTTTAATTTAATTTTAAAATCTATTATTTTTCATAAAAATTTTATAATAACTTTTAAGTTAAAAAAATTAGGCCAAATATATAGTTTTTTAGCCTTTTTTCTTTTTATATAATAGTTCTTCTTTACTTTACTTTATTTAGTTTTTCTTTAATGCAATAAAAATCGATATATAAAATTATTTATATAAATAATAATGCTTTCAATATTGTATAATATATATAAGTAAATAAACAATTGATGAAAATAACCATGAAATCAATTTCTTTAGTAAATAGATAAAAACATAAATAAATATAACTTTCAATTTCGAGTATTATTGTTAATTTTTATTAATTTTTTAAATGTAAAATATTTTATAAAATTAGATAATACACCTACTTTATATAACCTCCTTGATAGTTATTCTTTTCTTCTCGTTACACTTTAGCTCACCCTTACTCTTGTATTTTACCATGTATATGAAAATAAGTTATGGGAAAATATTTAATGTATTGATAGTATATAACTTATATATATTATTAGGTCATCAAATCCTAATATTTTATTAATGGGGTATTATTTTGAAAGAATTAAAAGATTGATATTATTTTGAAAGAAACGAAAAATATATATTTTTTATTTTATTAATAAGGTGTCAAGATTTAGCGACTTGACATCTATATACGGTCAATGTATCAAATATTAATCTATAAGCTATTTACGTCAACATTCTTGAGAACAATATAATAATTAAGCAGTTATCTTAATTAATCAATTTTTTTTTATGTCAGTTTCTTATAACTATTAGAGTTAAAACCTTTAAAAATCATGTATTTCATTTAGAAAAATATCCAATCAAATTTAATGTTGTTTAGTCAAGCATAAAAAAAAAAAATCAATATCTAATTTTTTATATCATATTCAACAATGTTTTTGACTCTAAATTGAATACTCAAAAAATTTTAAGCAATGGAGTCAAATTTGCCACTACACTATGAAACAATATCAAATTTTATTATTGCACCTCAATTTTATTTACTTTTGTTATTATACTTTTAATTTTATTAAATTTTAAAAAATAATTAAATTAAAATATTTAGTCAATACAAATAACAAAATTTGGTATTGAAAAGTTCAACGCGTCATTATATATTTCATTGTACAGCATCATATATTTTACGTTTTACATATAAACGAGATTATAGTTCAATACAATAATTTTTTTCAATAGGAAGTGGGTTTTGTGTTCATATGAACTGATGAAGAAACAATCTGAACACATAGAAAAATATCTAATTGGGACGTCACTTTATTGTTGGCATAAAAAAATCCTCTTATGGGGACCAAAAAACGTAAGAGACATAAGCCTCCAAAGAAAAATATTGACCATGTAATTTCCGCACGCGTGTGTGCATGACTTGTTCCTCTTGCGTAAGCCCTTGAGATTGTGACCATTGACTCCTTTTGGTCCTTGGCATGTACGCTCATTCGACAATTCATGCCGCTTCGTTTTGCTGGGAGATTAAATAAATTACTTTTAATTTTTTTGATTTACAGAACCGGAAACTTCAAACTTTTATGCTTTAACAAAAATAATTATATATTTAATAATTAGATCAAATGTTTAAATCTGAAAAATGTAGCAGCTTTTATTACTTATCTTACTAAGGGAGTTACGTTTTGGATACTACTACTAGTAATTAGATGGAACCAACCTCTGCTTAGTAAGAACTAGAGAATTTGTTTTTTTTTGGAAAGAACAAGAGAATTTGTTTAAGAAGCACAAATTTTTTTAAAAAAAAGAAAAAAGAAAAAATGGAAAAGGGAGGGGTGATTCACGCGGATAAAGGTGTGGATGTTGGTGAGCCAACCTTATTGCCAGCTGGCTGTCGGGGAGAGGTCCCCAGATCCCGCTGCACGTGACTCACCACCCCCCTCTCTCCCTTCCCCCTCTTCTCTCTCTCTCTCTCTTCTGAAAACGCAGAAGAAAAAGCCCATCGCTTTCTTCATCGATCGATCAAAAAATATATATATATATATATACAAACACACTTATTTATCATTAAATTCCAAAAATCCAATCTCTTGTTCATTTCATCTCTCTTGCATTTCCTCGTTCCCTTCTCCTTTGGGGTTTTCATTTGGATTTTTGCTTACATTTCTCATTTTTCCTACTTTCATCCACCTTTCTATTTCTATAAATATAAATAAATTAGTTTTCTTTCTTTTTCTGGCTGGTGAGTTTGTGTAGAAGAGTGTGATGTAAAAATGATGGGGCTAATTCATCAAGGGAGGAGTTGAGATTCAAATGCTATTGGTTTGGGATTCTAATGCACGGATCTGCTGGTGGTAAAATCCTTTTTTCGCTTTCTTCCTTTCATTTAAATCATTTCCGTTTCTCTTTTTCTCATTCCCTTTTTTTTTTCTTTTTGTTTCTTTTATAATTTTAAAGATTGTGAAAGAATCTATATAAGATTGAATAATCTCTGTTTCTTGTTTGGATTGGATATTGTCGTTGATTAGGGAAAGATTAATTGCTTGGCATAATCACTGCCAAAAGAGAGGGATTAAAGTGTAATTTTGAGAATGCCTTGCTGATTTTGCTTCGTTTCAAGTATTTGTCTACTTAGGTTTTCTATTCGTAGATCTTCTAATTTGATCTAAATTTGCTTTTCTTTGTTATTCAGCTTTATTCTTTTTTTTTCTTGTTGGTATTCCATTGAATTATTAATCACTTGAGGGTACTCCAATTACTTCCCAATATTGGAAGGAACATACTTTTAAAGACATTAAGTTCCTTCTTTTGGTGGATAAGAATTTAGCTAGAAATGATTGGGTTCATTTAGGGTTCTTTTGTTTGCTACTTTGCTATTGTCATATGAGGCTGCCTATGGATCATCTGAATCATTTTGCTAATTACATAAGCGTGATTGAGTTTTATATTGAATATTCTATGGCCTATGGGTGATGATTTCTATCTGGGTGAAAAAATGGGTTATTAGATATGCTGGCTGATGTGCTTGTGAACAAGTGATTATGTGCAGAAATTCGATGTAAGCATATTTTCAGATCTTAATTGGGTCATAGGCTTTTTAGAAGAAGTTTGAGGAGATTTTATTGTACGTTACTTTCTCATTTAACTGTCTGGTTTTGTGTGCTTTCCTCATTTGCTTGTAGGTGTTTCCCCGTTGATAATGGGTGCTAAACTCTTGCATGATTATTGTATTCGGAAGTAAACAGTTTACCTATTGGGTCTAATAGTTTATGCTCTGCAGGTCTGATGGCCTCCAGCTCAAACAAGTCAACACAAAAGAAGCTTGTCATCAAATGTTTTGTTGCCTGAGATCTATTCCTAGATTGAAAAGATCTTTTATGGGGTGAGAAGTAGGGGCGAATATGGTTGTGCGTTTCAAACATTTAAGGACATGGAGGAGACACGAGATGATGCAGGGCCAGCAGAGCAAGGGCCTTCTAATGCAACATGGTGGTCTTCAGATTTTATCGAAAAATTGGGTTCTGTTTCTTTGGGTTCTCATGAAGAGAGTTTGAGTAATAGGGAGTCACCTAGAAATTTTGAGCAAGATGGATTGTCATCTCAGACAGCATCACAGATTTTGTGGAACACTGGAATGCTTTCTGAGCCAATTCCAAATGGTTTCTATTCTGTCATTCCGGTGAGGATTGAATTATCTTGGTTCTGACTAATTTAGTCATACTGGCTGCTTAAGTATTCTTGTTCTTTGGTTGAACCGGAGTTTCTTGAGATAACAAGTCCTTGCTTTCTTCTCTATCTTTCTCTGTTATTTTATTCTTATTTGTACTGATTTTTAATAGTTATATCTTTGCAGTTATTTTCAATGTACTGTTGTCAAGTGCTTTCTATTCCTTTTCAAAGATAAATATTTATCAGCTTTTTGTGTCTTTTCATCAATTTTGAAACTGAATTTCATCTTTAAACCATTCATCTGAGTAATTGCCATATCCTTAATTTTTCAGAAAAAAGATAGAATTGTTAATTTCTTTGATTTTGCAAGCCAGGTTGTGGTTGGCCAATCTGTACTCACATGACAATTGCATAATTTTGTGGTTTAAAACTGCAAAAAATACTTGGAAGCTCAAGACTCCAATATGGATTAAGTTATAGATTTCATTGATGTTAAGGTGATAGGGCAATAGTGGTTTGCTTCATCAGGCTATAAATTGGAGTGATGTTTAGAAGGTGTTGCATATGTTATATTGTTGAAGAGAAAGTGGGCATATAATGAGATAATGTATATATGTGGTTATGGTACATCTGGTAAACTTGTTCATTATATTGGTTCATATCCTATGCTGTCATGCTGATGCCTGAGCTGTTTCAAATCCCCAATGTTACTGACGGTCTTCGGCATAGGCAGAAAACTGAGGTGTCCTCAGAGTATACGTAAGCTTGTTTGTCTGATGACTTAAATAAGGTTACTGTACTTTGAAGTTCCTTTGATTAGTAGAAGTTCATTGGTGAGCATTCATAGCTGCTTATAACATATATAGGCCATACTACATTGCTAAGCTTGTGATGAGTGGTTTTCTCTTCTGGTTTATATTGAAAGTAGTGAAGTTATCATGATGCTGTGACAAAACTTAACTAGAGCTATTAAAAGAAGGTAAAAAATTTTCATTTATTTCTGGGATGGTTGTATTTATTTAGTGGAAATTTAGGAAGTTAATAGTTGTCTTTTTGTCCGAGAACTTGCTTATGGCTGCTGATGCTTGCGCTGGATAAAACTGTTGAAATGTGAAATTGATATGGGTCTGCTCTAGGTTGTGAATATACTTCTTCTACATTTTCATTTCCCATTGGAATCCCTACAGTTACCTGAGTTGAAAAGCACTTTGTTTCTGCTCTTAAAATTGAGTTGACTGTGGCTTTGGTTTTTGATCTGAAGATTGTTAAAGAAAGTAGGCATTTACTTTCTGATTTTTTAAGGTAATACCAAAATGTCCTCCTGAAAGTTTGCAGAAAAACCATGGCTCCCTCATTGCTGAGATTGTCTTGTGAAGTTTCTTTCTTACAAAAGGGTAAGTGCATAAGTTGAGGTGTGAATATATCAGACAAGGTTTGGTGATTGTTAGTTTAACAGGTTTAAGATAGAGAATCATTGGTTTTTTTTGAACATGTTTCAGCCTCCTCCATTCTTAAGGGCAGATCATGTAACACTTTGGGCTGAAAATAATGTCTGGGATTCTAATGGTTCTCTTCTTGTGGACATTTACTGGGATAACATTTTTGGGCCAAACATATTCTAAATAAACTTTTTAATAGGAAAGAGTTATTGTTTATTAGTTCTAAATTCATTAAGGTAATGAATGATGCAGAAAGTTTTTCCACTTGATTGTTTTTTGGTAAGGGCTTGTGGAGTTCTATTTTAAAACTTTTATTGTGACTCAAGTTATGCCAAAACTTGTGGCTAGATATTGACCTCATGAGAGAGGTTTTGACCACAAGATAAAGCTTGGTAGCAAGTCTCAGTTTGACTTCCCTTACAATTCTCCAAAAGGACAGTGTGTTTGGCTTTGCGTTGAGTGTGAGCAAATTATTATTTTTCTGTATGGTGTGTGAAGGAATACTTTTACCTTTGATAGCATTGAGATTTTGGTCCACCAGAATGAAACTAGTCTACTAAAGATTGCTTGTCCTTCTGTCTTCTAGTCTGTGTGCCTTTTCTTGTTTGGGGGGGGGGGGGGGGGGGGGCAGGTGGGGTTAGTTTTCAGTTCATCTTCTATTGCCCTTGTAATATGTAGTTTACCATACGCAGTTGTTGCTAATATCTCCTTTATTGTTTGATAGGTTCTTAAGGAATCATATAATAGTATTTATTTGTTCAACTTATGCAATATGATGAGTTGTGGAAGTTGCTTGTGTATTTTTGTTTGTGCATAGATATGTAGCTTGGCGTGTGGTTATGTATGAAATTAGTTGGTAATTTCACTATATAGGGATATCTAACTTGAATAATGGTTAGAACTGTTAAGGCTTGAGTGACTTTTGTTTACTAATGATAGGCTTCTTGATTGGTTTAAGTAGAGTTCCTTTTTCAGGCATATAGGTGATAACTTTAAAACCATCATAGTTTAGAATAAATTCTACTTAGATCAATATTGTCATAAGGAAAGAAAATAACACTAGACTTTAAAGTTATAGACTTGTTTGGAGTTATTTGAAGTTGGGGAATTTGTTTTACATGTAAACGAAGGTTGAGGGACTTTTGATGCCTTTTACCTGACATTATTATTGTGCAACACATGATATTAGAGGCTTTTTGAGGAGATCTGTTGTGGGATTCAACAAATTGCTGCAAAGACATTAGGATGAGACCAGTGATGCAGTTAGAAATGAACTGATTTTTGCTATTGATAGATTCATTAAGGTCTTTTCCACTTGATTATGGAGATGCCACAGGTTTATTTATTGGTTGCTGTTTGCTGATGTTATGGAGGAGGAATATGCTCTATGTTAAAATGATGGCAAAATTATGATCCTAAGATTTTGGGTTAAGCAAGATGAAAAAGAGAATGTGACTTAACTAAGGTTGTAGTCAGAGGTTCTTCGCTGAAGAATGTTTTCGTTGCAAATTGCCTCACTGACTTGGTTGGATGGTTTTCTGTTGTGAGGAAGCTTGGCCTGCTTGTTTCCACCAAAGAACAAAAGAGTGGGGATGGGGGAATCTATCATTTGTGGCAAGGGGGATTGAGGTGAAATTTGTAACAAAATTAAGAGTCATCTAATGTCCGATGATTAATCTCTAAAGAATTCCAAATAAGGAAGAAAACTTCTATAGCTTTTGGAAAATTATTATGGTACCTTAGATGTTGAGGATGTGCCATCTATAAGGAATTAAGTTCTATTTATGGGGAAGAGATGTAGGAGGAAGTTGTTCACAGGATTGAATCTGACTGGATGTAATATGGGATTGCAGTGAAGTCATAAGCAATTGAGGAATGCTGTAAATTTCAAATTATCGTTTATGATGATAGTAGATTTTAAAGTTTTATTTTTTTCAAGAATGAAAGAGCATATTTACATCATCAAAAAATTTGATGTGTTTTATTTTAACAAATTGAATGTTGAATTTTTTTTAATACATTCCAATGTTTAGATTGAGAACTCTTTACTTGGCTATGTGGCTTCCAACTATATTTGCTCTATCTCCACATATCTATATGACAATCAGGGTACTTAATGATATTTGATCAAACCTAAAATTGAATTTTAAGCAGCACTATCTGGTCTACTGTCTATAAGATTTCTATTGTAATTGACAGTATTCCTCTTGTGAGTGATTGTTTGCTAGCTACAGTAGAGTCTAGACAGTTTTTGTATGGAAATATGCTTTAGAATTTGATTTCTTCACTGTGCTTCTATGCTGAGGAAATATAATGGCATTTTATAGAGAAAGTTATTGCTTTTCACAGACTTGATGGTTACTAACTCATAAGAACCCTCTGAAGCAAAATTAGAAGGTTTTTACGATTGTACTTCTATGTGTAAAGAGATAGAATTAATTGCAGTTGGAAGACTTGATGGTTGCTAACTTGTAAGAACTGTATGAAGTTTTAGTTTAGCAGGTGTTTATTGGGTAAAGTCTTGTTCAAATTGAAGGACAAACAGAAGCAACCTCCTTGTCCTTTATCATTCTGTTGATGTATTTCTCATTGCTTATCACTATTTATTTAGGGAATGCTTTCTACACTTGCCAAATAAAATTGGCAAGGAAATTCTGGGAAGCATTCTGTAAATTCTTGGAATTGTGAAATCAGAATCATATTGTTATGTCTGTTTTAATGTTGGTACTTGGATGATATATGGTTCATATGTGTGCTATTGAACTAACGCTAACACGCACATCATTCCATTTATTCTTGTTTATTATTTAAAGTTTAAATATCACTGCTTCTGGGATTAAAGACTTCTTTTTTTCCTGAAATTGACAGGATAAAAGGCTTAAGGAGATGTTTGATACTATTCCTACATTGGAGGAGTTTCATGCTTTGGGTGGAGAAGGTTATAGAGCTGATATCATTCTTGTGGATTTTGAGAAAGATAAAAAATTATCTATGCTGAAGCAGTTGATTGCGGCACTGGTTAAAGGATTGAACTCAAATCCACCTGCAATGATTAAAAAGATTGCCGGATTGGTGAGAATAGTTTGATATTTGTTTTTTCTATAGCCCTTCTTCCTCTCTTCCTTTTCCCCCTTGTTTCACTGTTCTCATGTTTGTATTTCATATTGTTAACAGTTTCGTTGTATTGTCATTATCAACATGCAGTTAGATGCATCTGTCTATGTTGTTACTTGCTATTTCAGGTGCATGCTATTTGCCATATCACGTGAAAAGAATTTCCTACTGTACCACCTCTTACATATTTCACCTTCTTCTAGTGATATACTGGTAATAGTAAAAAAAAAAAGTGTATTTATTTCCCTTTCAGTGCAGGGAATTTCCTACTGATATTTGCTGAAGTATTGAGCAGTCTTTGTTTCCCAAAGAGTTTGGGCAATTTAAGAAAACTTGCATGAGATAAATCTGCCCTATAACAGAGATAAAATGATTTTATAAGAGAATTTTGGAGACTGGAAAGTACACATTCAAATGCTGGTGTTCTTTGTTTGGGACATGGAAGGGACATTACACCTCCTGAGTAAAATTTTCAAAATTTGAATTTAGTAATTCCCAAACATTGATAGAGTAAATTCTTAGGACTGCATGTTGTTTAATTTCAGTGCTTTGCATTAACGTGAATAAAATAAATAAGAGCCTAAAGCTGGCTACTTCAACCCTTGAACAATGGGACAAGACAGTAATTTCTTATTCTTTCTTATTTCTCTTTCAGACAAATATTCCTGTTGGAAGTCTATTGTCAGCATTTATTTAATCTTTTTAATTGAATTTCTAATTTGGTTGTTAATAAATGCTTTTTTATTTATTGTTTTTTTTTGAAACTCCTGCTATTTACCTAGGTATCTGATTTTTATAAACGTCCAACTGCGGAAAGTCCAGCAAAAGCTGCACTAGAAGAAACCTCTGACATGTTTGAGAATAGAAGCGTCCAGATGCTGGGACAAATAAAGCATGGTTCATGTCGTCCCCGGGCAATTTTGTTTAAAGTTTTAGCAGATACTGTAGGGCTTGAAAGTAGGCTCATGGTGGTAAGCTCTTCTTTTGTTCCCGCCCTCTTCAATTGTTAGGTTAGATTACATGATTTATTTCTTCTTTCATACATAGCGTATATCAGTTTTAAGTTGACTCAAATAGAAGATTTTCCAAGAGAATTTTTATTGCCGATGTCAAATTGTAACTGAAAGTCTGTGGCCCAATTTTCCTGTGTCATTCTTTCAGGGTTTGCCAAATGATGGCGCTGTTGAGTGTGCAGATTCATATAAGCATATGTCTGTGATAGTTGTGTTAAATTCTGTGGAGCTACTGGTTGATCTTATGCGGTTTCCGGGTCAGTTGATACCACGATCAACGAAGGCTATTTTTATGACCCATATATCAGCTGCAGGGGAGAGTGATTCTGCTGAAAATGACTCTTGTGATTCACCATTGGAGCCAAATAGTCCTCTCTATGGATTTTCTGATAGAGTTGACCCTGACAGGTTAGCAGATGGCATATGACGCAATCTGAAATTGTATATAACTTGCCTTCTGAGCTCCCTTAACATTATGTAATTGGTGACAAATGCTTGTGAAAGTTATTATTGTCTTTTTCTTGGATGAGTAGATGCTTATAATTCTCATTTTGGTTTGCAGCAGTGCTGAAAAAGATGAGAACCTTCAGTTCCATCGAAAATTAGATGGGTCTTCAAATATAACCGGTGCTTCATTGCGAAATATGATGCTACGATCTTCTGCCTCGATTGACAGGAAGTTAAGGTAATGTTTACCTTGGCATTTCTAACAAGTAAAAGACCTGCTTGATTGAAACTTATATATGCTACAGCATGTTTGATGTTAAATTTCTAATTTTATTTATTTATTTTTTTTTTGTTTTTCTCCCTTAGTCTGTCACATAGTGAACCCAACATCACAACTACATTCGGGCGTCGTAGCCGAAGAAAGGTTGTTGCTGAACAGCGGACTGCCAGTTCGAGGTTCCTCTCATGCCCTTTTGTGTTTTGAATTTATATATACTAAAAGTTGAGTAGTGTAATCCTCTTATTGATTAGTTTGCATATTTGTGACCCTATATTCATTTTGGGCGCTGCACTTATTATTAAATACTTGGAGATGGGATGCCATGGTGATGTAGTGATGTAGAACAGGCAGGGGAAAGAGATAGAAATTAGAAATTTAGAGGGAAATCAGATATATGCAGCAACAATTAGGGTGAAGCAGAGGAAATAGGGAGAGAAATAGAAGAATTAGTGAAGAGAAAACCAGAAAGAGTCAATAGTGGGGAAAATCTCAATATTCAATCTCAAAGATTAATCATCCAAAACCTAATCATAACTATAATAACATAGATATTTATAAGCTAAACCCTAAAGCCTAATAAAATGAAAATACCTAATATAACCTTAAAACCCTGATACTCAGAAAATAAGCAAAGCTTGTTAATATAAAATAGCCAAAATAACCTAAATCTATATAATGATGACAATCGAACTAAAAAGTTATAACAAAATTTCAAGCTAGAGACTTTGTTCAAACATCTCCTTTCAATTCTCCATCATTTAGGCAGCTACATGATTAAGTCTTTTGGTAGTTTCAGATTTGAGTTCTTGAGAAAACAGACAAACTTGAATAAAGGACTCCCTAAGCTTCACACTTAGCATTGCTTAGCAAGTGACACCTAAGATTGATTACATCACACAATAACAAGAGCAATAATGCTGGAAGTTCTGCTATATCTCAGTAGAATGATTACATTCATGTATATAGGCCCCTATATGTAGTCCAAGAAGAACTGGCACTCATAGAATCTTATCTATACTTAAGATTACAATTGGGAAACTGACAAACTTACTTAAAGCAACAGCTACACTAAAATAAGAGCCCAAAACCGAGGGAAAGACATAATAAGACAACTCAAAACCTGTAATTTCCAGCACACTAGGAATTAGAAATATACCCTTGACACTTAAAACATGAGAAAACAGAACAAAATAAGAATTGGAAAAATTTAGTCAAATTTAGGACCCAAGCAACAAATGAAGCCTAGTCAAGCTCCCAAGCTTCTCAATCATTGGACTTATGCCAAATTAGTGCTAAGACATTAGGATCAGCTGTATTTGGAGGCTGCTGATAGTGTGCTTCATCACATGTTATATTAGCCTAGATTGTTTGTTGTGCTGTTTAACCGTCCATATTAGCAGCTGTTGTCTTAGTTAAGTCTGCATTTGAGAGGAAATATTAATTAGTGTTATTTCATATCAGTTGGTTTGAGGTTGTCGTAGCCATATACTTGGATTGGGGCTCTTCATCTTTTGACAATTGGTTAAGTTGGATGCATAAGCCAAAGAAATTATGTTTGTAATTTCTTTTGTCTTTCATAGCATTTTTTTATTCTGGATCTTTGTTTGTGGTTCTAGCTGCATAAAAGGTTTCAGTAGTTTGATTGGGTGTAATAATTTTGTTATCTGTGGGATGGTACTATGACTGGATCCAATTCTGCAGAACCTTGATTAATTGAGTACATGAGCATGGATGTAGTACTATGACTGGTTCTTGAATTGGATAATATATGTAAAACAGTGTTTTGTTAGCTGGGTAAGCGAAAATTTTAATCATAAGCTTTATGTATGTTCAATCACATGTATGTAATTTAAATATAATTTTGAAATTTTAATTTTGACTTGTCTTAACTGGTTAAGGAAATTCCATATGAATGCGGAAAGATTTTGGTGGGACTGCTATCATTTTTGTAGTTATTAGTGTATTATGCTTGAAAGCATATGATTTTATTGTTCTAGTTCCTGTAGTTGCCTTTAATATGGGGTTTTCCCTCCTTTATTGCCTTCTTTGTCAACTTATTTTTTTCCCCTCTCATTGCTTTCTTTTGTCCATTATCCATCAGGACCATTACTCTCCCCTTTTACGTTATGGCTCTGCATTATGCTGACTAAAACTGAATGATTATGCTTGGATATTTACAGCATAGTGAATTCTTAACCACCTTTCCACTTAAGTAGCTGCTTGCATCACTGCACATCTAACAAAACTCTGGAATGGAACATCCAGTAGCATTCAATTCCAAATTTGACGAGTCCACTTAAATGGAAAGCATTAATTATCCAAAGACTTCTTTTTTCTCCCAATTTTGAATCAAAGTTCTGAGGAGACGCATTTGGTTTCTTGAAAGCTGAAGTTATGGGATCCACTTCCAAGGCAAAGCTTCAACTTTGCATTGGTTTGATGAAAAAAGTTCCTTGATTATAAATTGAAAGGTGACATTAGCAACATTTATGGAGATAATTGAGTTTTATTATTAATTTGAATTTAATGATTATTTATAGCATTATTAAAATAACAAAGGAGTCTGTGGCAGTCTGATTGATGGCATGATTTCTAGTGTTTCTTTTAAAGGCCAGGCCCGGTCATGAAGTTAGGCACCAGCAGGTCTTGACAAAAGAAGTAGCTGTTAATTTGATGTTTAAGTTCAGCCTACTTGTTGGACTTCTGTACTTAGGGTAGTATCCCACCAACTATAAAAGGGTGAAATATTGGAATAAGTTTACGTGTATCTTATTAGAGGGTAGAATTTATGTGGACCACATTGTAAACTCAAGTTAAGATTTTGTTTGTCACTCTTTTGTCCAAGTGGTTCATATTATTATCTAATTTTGGTACTGCTTTCGTTTGGTTCTTCAAACTGGTATATACATTAGGTGGTTTTGAATCAGAAAAATATTTGGAACTTGGATTAAACTCTACTACATTTTGGATGGAGATATTCCAGATTACTAGTGTCCAGGGCAGCGCATTGCAGGAACTCAGCACTGGAAAGAAAGAAATTATATGGTACAGACAAGAAGGGGTGGATTTATCAGAATTTTGCTGGAGGCATTGTGCTACTATATGTTATGCTCGATCCTTTTTAAGGTGAAAAGTGATAATAAGGAATAAGAATTAGGGTGCTGAGTTAGGTTTTGTGTTCTTGATTGGAAGTAGGTGAAGAAGCTTGATTGGAGGCTGTATGGTTGAGGAGAATAGGGAATTTTGGTGCTTTGGCAGTATGGTTTGATGGGGAATTAGGGTTTCTGAAGATGACAGCTTCTAGGGTTTATGAGCAGGTTGTCTAAGGAGAAGAGGTTATACCTTGGGATTCTAACTATGTGTTTCATTAAGCAGTCACGTGCCATAGGAGTTTGACCTCTGAGCAAAACTCTTATCTGGTCTGCTAAAATAAGAAGTGTAAAAATGTAGAAATAGACTAACCTACGACTGCAAGATATAAAACTAACACTAAACATGCTATTGGGCTACATCTAAAGTCCAATACTATTTCAAAACTTTAGAGCACTCATGATGCATTTATAAGACTTCTTTCAATAAAATCTGGAAATTACATAAATACCTTGACTGAAAAGGAAACTAAGAAAACTCAGTATTTAAAGTAACCACAAAGATAACTTAGAAGTATTACAAAATCAAACGAAAACCCACTCAAACTTAATCACTTTATCCCGTTGAAGCCCAGAATGTTCTTTGGATTCCCAAGTTAAAGTTCAAAGTTTGTGCCTTAGTCTTGCAAGGATCATATTGATATTTTAAAATCCTTGTGACTTGTCCAGGTTCACACAGGCACAAAATCCTCCTTGATGGTCATCATGTGGCAGTAAGGTTTTTCTAGGGTTCCTTGATGCCCTTGGATAGAATTAAGCACCAATAACACTTTCCTGTTTCAAATAACAATAACAAATTAATTCTTTTCCCATCAAGTAGGTGCATGATTGAAACAAATGACTTTCTTTTTTTGGGTTCTCCTTTGTGATTGATGGCTAATTTAGTTATGGGTCATGCGGTCTAAACTATTCCTGAAATTTGACGCTTTTCTCTTCTGAAAGAAATATGCAGCTATTTTTGCCAAAATTTTTCACATTGAAAGCTTTTTATTGTTCATTATTTTACAAAGCTACTGGAATCTTTGTAGTCACCTATATTTTATGTATTATAGTAGCACCTTAATTATCTTGCTTAAATATACTAAAATTTAATATTAATGTCATCTATAAGCATTTGATTGTGAATTTTGTTTTTGAAATTTTTAAAGGACAACCGTTTTGTTTTGATTGTTACATAGATGAATAGCTTATTATTTGAGGAAAGAAATTATGCATTGCTGTAGCCATTGAAGATTTTAATCTCTCTCTCTGATACAAACACACAAACACATGCATACATGCATGCATGCCTGTTACACGAATTTCTTTCAATGCCTTTTTTGTATGATATATCCAATAATTTGCCTTAAGTAATGTCTAGATGTCTGCTTGGTCATGAGAGTATCCATCTCTTAAAAGAATAGAACATTTTAAGTGTTTCTTTGTTCTTTTTAAAATTTTAATGTCTTTGCAGTCCAGAGCATCCTTCTTTCCGAGCACGTGCAAGGTCCATGCTAAGTGGTGATAGGAATCCCCTTAGAGATTATGCTGATGACGTTGCTACATCAAGGTTTTCTCATTTGATCCTTTTTCAGTAAACACGAGAACAATAATGATGATTTCTTAATGAAAAATGTTGGTAATATTTGGTTGCTGCTAATAGTTCATAGTTAATTGTTACTCTCACTTTCCGGTGGCTTTCATGTCAAAACATGCAAGTTTCTATCCCCCTTCCCTCCAAAGTCTTCTAGTGTTGCTGCAAAACTTTCTTTCTTTAGTTCTTTGAGTTGGGTGTGGAGAGGGTCGGGAAAAGTGTTTGGAGTTTTCTTCAACATATTCTCTATCATAACCAAAATTTGAATCCACACCATCTTTACCATTGTTCAAGTAATATAAATTATCGTGCTCTGTGTATAGTCATTTGTTTGTGTTTCTTTAGTGTTCTCTTGCTTCTCAAGCTGGTGATGTTCTGAACTGGAATATCTGTTTTTAGTTTAAAATACTAACCTTGGCTTAACAGAAAGAACGTACTGGCCTTTATTAATCTGTATGATATTCTCTTTTTCCACATTCTGTAAACTAACTTCAGAATGAAGTGCTGCACTAATTGTTACTGATATCTTTGATCTGTAATAATTCTAGCTGCAGATCAGATGGGGCATCAACATCAGAAGCTCGTAGAATAAGAAGAAGAAGCATTAGCATGACTCCAGAGATTGGTGATGATATCGTAAGGTTGATTTTTGTCTTGTTAAGAATTATGACATACTTTAATCTGATGCTAGACTAGTCTAGCTCTCTTATCTCTTACTCTTTATCTTGTTTTCCCCATGGAAATGTTTTTTTTTTTTTTCTGGTTCTAGTAATTTAAGATTACTTGTTTCTATTTTCTAGGTGCCTTCCCTATTTTTTGACTTTAGAAATTCAAGAATTCTGGTTCCTCTTCTCTTTTGTATTTTCTTTTTGACTGGTGAAATAGTGTTCATGTTTCTAAATTATATATATATGTATAATGATTTTTCATAAAATGAATTTCCAGCCTGGAAGTTGAAGCATGGTATCAACCATGTCAGTACCTTAAATGTAAGAGGCAAGAACTTTTATTAGATAGGCAACCTTCACTAAGAAGAGGGATCAACAGATTGAAAGAAGTTTGGTTAGACCTACATAATTCCTTTTTGGTGATAATTAGGTGGGACTGAGAATATTTATAGCTTGCTTAACTGTGTTAGTATGTCGACAATTTTTAAATGAACTTCATCTGAAGTGCATAAATTGAAATCAGGACTCAGGATACTTGCATTAAGTATTTGTGCATTTATTAGATCATTGTGGTTCAGTTTATATGTAACCTAGTAGTCAAGCATGTTCCTAGCTCATAGCTTGTGTGAATGTAAAACTTTTTGAACAGATATCTTAACAGCCAAAAATAAAAGAGGGGGCGGGGGGACAAAAGATGCGGATATACAATTCTTTTGTTTGTGGGAGAACAAATTTCCTTATTTCCGCTGTGTGTGTCTAGAACTGTGAGAGATGGCTCAGTGATTAATCTTAAAATGCAAGCCACCCTCCCTATGCCCCTTCTTTTTTCTCCAAAACAGAGAAAAACAAAATATAAACTATCTATTTGACGAATCAAACATCTGCAGTTTGATGGCAGATCTACTTGCAATCTTAAACCAGTTCATTGCAACAGTTGTGCCTTGCCTTTAGCAATGGATTGGGTTTATTTTAAGTACAAGTCAAAGTAACAGTATGAATCTGGCACATGTGTTTCCATTTTAATGGTCCAAAGAATTGTAATGCAAGTTTCTCAGTTTCTGTTCATGCAAGGTCCTCTAAATGTTAGATCTAGTATCACCAATCTTTTCTGATGAACTTTTTAATTTGCATAATGTTTGCTTTCGACAGCTAGCATTGTTATTTACTGTGCTATTAAATTGTGGAAGTTAAACAAGTTGTTCTCGAACTTTTGACTCCTTAAAATTATTCAATGAATTTGATGCCTTGAACTTGGACTTGCCTTTTTCATGCTTTCCTATTTTCTTTCATTAAACAGAACTTGTGCCTTGAAGCGTGGTGCCCGTTTAGTTTTAGAAAATGTTTTCTATTAATATTTATTTACATTTGCACTCTAAATATGATCAATAAGATAAGGTAAATATATAAATTTTGAAATGTAGTCAAACTGTTGGAAAACAACTTATTATAATAATTTTTCTATTTTTACCGAAAATCAAGGGTTTCTAGATTTGTTGTTACCCTTGTTAATTTCATTTGTAATGTAAAAATGGAGATGGAAAATGGAAAACATTTTTTGAAACTAAATAGACTCTAAGCTTTACTGTTTTGTATCCTTCATTCTCTTTCCCTTTATAGAAGATATTCTTTTTGTGATTACATCTACAAATTTATTCTTTTTGAACCCTATGTAATGGATGGAAAAGATCTGGTTCTCTTTTTTTAAAGAAAAAATTATTTAGGGTAATAGCTTTTGGAATTAATCATCATTTGGTTTCCTCCCAACTTGTGTCTTATAATATGGGCTGCATGAAGTCGGCTTCTTGCCTTTGTCCATGTTATTGAACTGAACTATTAATGCTTAAAATGGAGTTGCTAGCAGTTCATCTTGGTAATCTTTCAGGTTAGTCCACTAGTATATTGGGTTCATGTATACCAAGTGATGCCTGTATTCATTTGTTAGTGCTTTAGTGTTATGCCAACATGTTTATATATTGATATGTATTTTCCGAAAGTTTAAGGATCTTGTTTGTTTTCTGGGGTGTACATTTCGTTATATAGTGATTTGACTGGGATTTTTTCTTGAATTATTTCAGGGCTGTCAGAGCTATGAATGAAACATTGAAGCAAAATCGTCTTTTGCAAGAGCGCGGGGAAGATAGGTCTTTCGCCCATTCTTCAAATAATCAGAATGAAAGTCCAGATCTTCAGAATGTATGTTTTTTGTTCAATATTTATTTTTAACTTGGTGTAGGATGTTCTGCACTTTATGAAGTCTTTCTCTCTAGCCCTTCATGTCGGCAAACATGTCTTTCTCTTCTTGCTTCTACATAGCTATATTTATTTGGCATAACAGCCAATCATTTGAGGAGATATTGATGAATGGGGACAATTTCATGTGAGTGTCAACTGATACTTGCAATTTTGGTTTTGTTGTAAATAAAAACTGTTTATTTTATATATTTGGAATGGTTGTATCTGTTTTTTTTTGTAGCATCTGTCCCCTATTGTCTAATATGATTGTTGTGGGTTTTGGAATTACATTTTAGACTAATTATCAAAGAGAAATTGGTTATATATAGCCCAGTCCTATAATCAGTTTGGGAGTCATGAGTCATAGGAAAGCTTTCAGATAGGGGCAGTTACCTTGGCTGGTTTTAATGTTGGAAAATTCCTTAGCCATAAGTTATATTGTCTTCAAATAAGGAGAGCAATAAGATGTGCCTTTTATCTTTGTCGTTAGAATCACATTTTGATGATCCATCTGATATATGTTTGTTTCTTTTGTGTTTTTATCATTTATAAAGTTCAGAGATCAATTTATGCAACTGTTCCCTCTTGCACACATTTTTACCCCCTAATGTCATAAATTTTATGCTTTTGATATTTAAATAAAAACTCACTCAGACTGTTTTGTTGCCTCATTGTCTCCAGTTTGTTTCCTTCTTTATAGATAGTTTTAGTGCCACTTCCACTGTGCGAATATTCCATAAAAAATGTGATTGCAATAGGAATGATCATTAGTTGCACAATTAAGCTATGCGAATTGTATGCAAATTGCTATCAAATGGTTACATTTATGTTTTGTTGTTATATTCTTCATTGTGGTTTTAATGCCCCAAAATCTATGTATAGTGGCATTGCCTTAAAACATAAAACTGGCATGCTTTCCGTTCTGTGGGTTTAGTTACCTAATGCAATTTAATAAGTCACTAAGGCTCTCTGCTCATTCTTTTAGGTACCAAATTTCCATCTTGATGGCCATGATGACATTACTGGTGGGAGGTCTGTATTGTATAACCTTTCCAGGGACCAAATAAAGTCTCAAAAAGCAATATCGTTGCCATCTTCTCCCCATGACTATAGAAGCCAAACTTCAGGGAGAAGTGGAGTTTCTGGATATGTAGCAAATGATGAAATGGTTGCAACATGGAATAAAGTTCTTGAATCTCCATTGTTCAACAATAACCCCTTATTAGCTTATCCCGAATGGAATATTGATTACTCTGAATTAACTGTTGGAACTCGTGTAGGGATAGGTAAGCACTGTTTTCAATTTTCTACGCTATCATTGCTGTGAAACTTATCTAGGCCTGCTTCCTATAGATTCATCTTGTATATACTCTCTTCTATCTTTTGATCTTTCTAAAGGCCTCTGCCTTTTTATTTTTTTCTTATTATTAGTTTTTAATTTTTGGGTATATAACAAAAGGCTAAAGCAGTCTGCGCTAGATGCCACTTTAAATGCTGCAGATGCATGTAAGATGGAAAATAATGTCAATTCAAGACTTAGTTTAACTCTGAAATGCTTGGTAATTTTAATCTGATGTGTAAGCAAGATTAGGTTTAGAAGCTACTAAGTAATAGGATTAATCTCACAAAAATTGAGTCAACAAATAAACTTATTGATACTAGGTATTGAAATTGGATCAAAGTATTAGAGAAACCACTTAAATGATGCGTTTAATCATGTTTCTTAATAATAGGTTTTAAATGGTATTATCGTACATCAATTAAGTTATAGGGCGTCTCCAATTGGTTTTAGGTTGGATGCTTGACATGGTATTAGAGTTCTTGTTGTTTGTCACCCTCTTTATTGTGTGTTATGCCATTCAATTTGTTTTCCACATGTTAGGCTTGTTATATAATTGGTATTGTACTTGTACTTGAGAAGTCTTATGTGGTGTTATCCTGCATCTGTTCTTTTTAGAGTTTGTTGTTGCGTTTATAATAATCAAGTTGGACCTCTCCACCTATTGTCGGTTGGTTTTTTAGTTGAATGCTTACAAGAGGCCAGTCTCGTACATCACTGATATTTCAATTGGGGCTTTTTCTTTCCTTATATACGTCTGTTCGTATGTATTAGGCTTCAACATCATATGTAATTTGTTTCAGACAAGATAGAGAAAAATGTCATGTAGTGTTTTTTGTTCATTTTGTTTACCTTCATATATCTGTTGTGAAGATTATGGGTGTTAGAATAGCACTCCCTGTGTGTAGAGAAGGCCATGGTAATTCGAATCTTTCCCAATAGCTTCAAAGTAGAAAGCCCCATAACAGATGACATCTGTTTTCGAGGTGCTGGATCTCTTTTTCTATTTTTCATCTTTGCAAAGAACCTAAACCAATCCCTTAAAAGGGGAAAAAGTAAATGCAAGACATGTTTAACATGTAATGCTACCAAGGTGCCCACTGCAAATTATCAGGGGCAATCTGATGTATATTGATTGCATCCTTGGCTTGTTTCTTATGAGTTTTCTATATCAGCAAGGATGAAAAGCAATCGGCCACTGTTTTTACCGATATGTAAGAGAAGGGACAAAGCATTAATCTTTTTGTACTTCATTATGCATGGAAATTTTATCACTCTGCAAAATTTTCACTGAGCGGGTTGTGTTTTTACAAAATCTAGTTGTGTGTTTATTGTCCAGGGTTTTTTGGAGAAGTTTTCCGCGGGCTATGGAATGGAACAGATGTTGCAATCAAGGTGTTTTTGGAGCAAGATCTTACTGCAGAAAACATGGAAGACTTCTGCAATGAGATATCCATTCTTAGGTATCTTTTTGTTGATATGCTGAAAGTTTTTAATATTTTCTTGTCTAAATATCTCTCTGACCTAATCTTCTTTTCAACTTTGTGTGTTTCTTTGTGTTTGTACTTCCAGCCGTCTTCGACATCCTAATGGTACTCTCCTACCTTTTCTAAAATTGTCATTTTTTTTTGTTTTTCTAGGATCTCTTCACCTGTTATCCCAACCAGAAGTAAGATAAAAGGAAAACAAAATAAAATAAATAAAATAAACACTGACAACTGTGCCTGCAATAAGTTATCTCATTTATACATATTTCCTACAGCTCCATAAGAAACATTGGCAAATTTTGTTTTATTTCATCCTTTAGTGAACCAAGGAGTGCTGTTTTTTGCAGTTATTTTGTTTTTGGGTGCATGCACAAAACCACCCCGGTTGTCAATGATTACTGAATACATGGAAATGGGATCATTATACTTTTTAATCCATTTGAGTGGTCAGAAAAAGAGACTGAGCTGGCGGAGGAGACTGAAAATGTTGCGTGATATCTGCAGGTTCGTTAAGCCTGTACATCACTTACAGAGTGTATTCATATTTCTGTCCTTTCATATTTAAAAGGAACATAGTGCAATACCTTATAATGTCTTTTAAGAAATTACTATTTACTCTTAGGGTCCACCTGTAGGTACTTTAGGGGGAATCAAAGTAGAGTTTGTTTATTTTTATATCGACTTCTGCCATTCCTCAAGTTTTACATTCCCATCGGAAAATTTTTAATTCTTGATCTTTTTTCTTTTGGAAACTGTTAACTTGTGGGATACTTTAATGCATAACATTCGAGTACTCGTGCTTGTTCATGCTGTCCATAAGAAATTATTTTTAATATCCACCTTTGAACTTTAAATAATTAAGTTTGTGGGAATAGAATTTTCAAGAATTATGGGTGTTTGGCAGTTTTTAGTAGGAGCAGATGAACATTACACTTGTAAGTTGAATGTTCATGTCTGATATGTACAAGTTTCTAAACACAAGGTGTATATGTATGCTGTGACCTGATTTTATAAAAATGTCGAATATGATGGTTGTGTTTGTATCTACAAGTCATTATTCCTTAGTTTCTGTGAGAAACTCATAAATCTCAGTATTTGTATGTCTGTATTAGACAAGTTTATTGGCATCTGTGGTAAAGATTCTTTTCCGGGGTTTTGAAGGAATTAGATGAAATATGACCTTTTTTGGATAATGATTTGGTTGTTAAGAAAAATTTGGACTTTTTCTGCACATTATTAATTACTGAAGTTAGAAACTCTGTAAATGCATTGTCTTCAAAGTAAAACAGCCAATTTTTTTTGAAAATTCATTGTCATATTTATTGTCAATGTTTGTTTGGCAGAAGCATAGGCATACTTGGTTGTGTGTCTGGATACATGCATCATGGTATGTGTGCGTTGTTAAGTAAAATGAAAGTGCCATGCTGACAAGAATTTCCTTTTGGATATATAGGGGATTGATGTGTATACATCGGATGAAAATAGTTCATCGTGACCTAAAAAGTGCAAATTGCCTTGTGAATAAGCACTGGACTGTGAAGATATGTGATTTTGGGCTCTCAAGAATAATGACGAGCCGACCCATGAGAGATTCTGCGTCTGCAGGAACACCAGAATGGATGGCTCCGGAACTCATTCGTAATGAACCTTTCACTGAAAAATGTGATATTTTTAGCCTTGGGGTGATAATGTGGGAGCTCTGTTTTCTAAACAGACCATGGGAAGGTGTACCGCCAGAGAGGGTATGCAGTGTACTGATACTTGGTCTTTCTCAAATCACTCGTTTGTCATAATTTTTGCCCTTTTCTTGATGTTTTAAATGCCTCATGAATCAATCCAGCTTTTAGTATTTCTATTATTGAAGATGAATGCCCCTTGTCTACATTGGTTCAGGTAGTTTATGCTGTTGCGAATGAAGGATCACGGTTGGAGATTCCTGAAGGTCCTCTTGGAAGGCTAATTTCAGGTCTACCATACAAAAAATTTCATGCATTATTCCAGAAAGTCGTAAGATTTGTCTTGTTGATTAATGGCATTATAGCGGACCGCATGATGTAATTTCTGATAATGTGTTGTTGGGTACAGATTGTTGGGCAGAACCGGAAGAGCGGCCAAGTTGTGAGCAGATACTTTCGCGCTTGCTGGATTGCGAGTACTCTCTCTGCTGATACATTCTGTTTGTATAGAAAACCTGGTAGAGGTGTTAACAATGTGTTGTCGGCTTTTCAAGTTGTGTAACTGTAATAATTTTTCCGATCATTGTAAAAACAGAGTTTTTTCCTCTTCCTCTTCTGTTTTTTTTTTTTTAAATTGAATATCCCTTTGCAGTTTTCAATTTGCAAACCCTCCCTTTATCTTTTTGTGCAATCACATCAGGGTTCGATTCCGGTCCAGGGCTCTCAAAAAATGAAAGCCTTGGCATTAAGTTGGGCAGAAGAAAAAGGGGAGGGCAGGGGAGGGGAGAATGAAATAACAGAGTACGGGTGCACCTTTGCAATTTTATTCTTTTGAAGAAAACCTGGTGCAAAACAAGAAAAAGAAAAAGAAGAAAAAACACCATGGTGTTCTCACTTCTCACCCATCATTGAGGTTATCTCAATCGAGGATGTGCCGACTATTCAGAGCAGCTTCAAAGCGACTACATGAGTCAGCTCTCATTTCCGTGCTCATATCACTCTCTGGTGCCGGATAATAGTCTTCTCGCAGCTGTACATCTCTGAGGTTAGGAATTCTAGTAAGGAACATCATGAAGTGTTCATGAGCCGTTCCATGGATAAATAGCTTCCTAAGCTCACGACATTCGGCGAGTAACCCCGCTGACGGCAGTGATAGACTCCTCTGGTTCACGTCCCTGTCTTGCGGAGGCCAATAATCTAGTTCATTTAGCCTCAAATTCCCAATGCCGTTGAGGTAAAACCTTTCCCACAAGCTTAAATCCATTTGGCCTGACGGTGCTGTGAGTGCATAACCTATGGTTTCACCACAATCTAATTGCATCTTTGACAGCCTAGGGTAGCGTGCAAGGTAGCTCAATCCGAAGGCACGTTCATATGGTTTGGGGCGCCCCCTGCAATCTCCTTCAACCTTTATTCGAATCTCCTCCAACTCGGGGCAGTCCTCAAGTCCTGCCATTGGCAATGGACTGAGAAGCTCAGCCACACCAATCCAAAGAGAAAGGTATCGCAACTTATCCCATTTCTTGCACCAAAATCCATTGACGGCGTTGGTTTCCATGATGTAAGAATCACTACTCAATTCAAAGTCATCAGAGTATTTGCATTTCTTCCTGCTCATGTCTTGATCATACTCATTTCCAGTTTCAGAGAAGCTAAATAAATTGGATGATTCCCCCACTTGATTGAGCCCAAAGCTATGACCAACCTGCTCTGAATCTGAATTCCCAGTCTCCCCCAACCCATCCCAGACACAATCAATATGCAGCCATTGAATCCGGTCACAGATGGGCTCCACGGCTCTCAATGACGCTGCAGCATCAAGATTCTTACAACAAGAAATCTTGACTTCAACCAAAGTATTTCTTAGCAAGCAAGCCATAGTCCTTAGTCCCTTCTCCGTAATCCTTTTACACCCTTGAACCTCAAATCTGGACAGCTTACAACAACCTCTCCCAATAGCAATCAATCCCATATCCGTCAAATCCCCAGAATTCTTAATAGACAACTCTTGCAGCCCCGAACACAAGGCAATCCCATCAAGCGGGGACTCTATCGCCAGACAAACCCCATGAAACTGCCCCAACTTGAGCACCCTCAAATCCTTGCATTTAGAATTCAACATCTCCAAAGCCAACCCTGTGTACCTGACATTCCTACAGACATCGAGCACCAACTCTTGAAGAAACGGAAGCCGACTGAAGAACTCCACCAGTGTTCCCCTGGTGATCATAGCATCCTCAGAAGTAAATCCTTCATTGTCCGGATCACCTCTCACGTCAGCCAACGACGACGTTTCGACCAAATGTAAAAGCGTTAATTTAGGACAATTATTGGCCACAGCCAACAAAGTCTCATCTCCCACGAACCCAATATACCTAGGATCAAAATTACAAGCCACCAAGAAGCTCTTCAAATTAGGACAAGCCGTGGTGATTTCCTTTATGTCCTGAGACTTAAACCCTTCAGTAAACGACGTCGTTAGCAAATTTAAGTGAACTAACGAGGCTGATACCTTTGGGCAAGCTTGAAGAACCGGGGGGAGATCTTCAGTCCAGTAATACAAACTGGACAAATCAAGCCAACACAGATTCTCGCATTGCTCCAACAAACAAACAAAATCGGCTCCGATTGGCCACTGGGTGAGCCGGCGGTGCCACCTCACCAGCTTCACACGCTTCAACCCAGGCCATTGTTGAACCAACATCTGAATCGTGGAAGGCGATCGAGCGTATACCGTCAAGGACGTCACGGCCGGGAAAGCGACGCGGAGGCGGTGGGCCAAAAGCTGAGGATCCGGGAGATGAGAAGAGGAGAGGAGGGAGTGGCCCCAGGGGGACAGCAAGGAGAGGTCCAAGTGAGTGACGGATCTGAAACAGGTTGGGATCATGAAAAGGTCCTTGGCGTTACCCCGGAGCGTGAGGGAGAGGCGCGTGGCCCTTTCCAAGAGCATAAACTTGCGGGAAACGAGGGAAAGGGAGTTCCGGGTGCGGGTGTCGGAAATGGAAGCAAAGATATGGGATAAAATAACGTCGGGGATATCGTGAATGGCGGCCATTCGGCGTAGGCCAAAAGAGGAGAGTGTGTTTTGTTTCCTTCTTCCGCTGTTGGATTTTTGTGGGGGATGCGTTTGTCAGCGTGGATTTTATTAGAAGGGTTAAGGCTAGGGATTGGTGGGATACTTATAGATAGATTTTTCAGAAGAGAATTGATTTGAGGAGGCTTCTGGTTAAAGGATAATGGGATCGGGACGGCACGGGCATGGCCGATCACAGTGAATAAACGGGAGAAGATAGCGAGGGTTATTGCAAATGGTTTTGTCGCGTGTTTTGACCATCTTATCTCCTTTTTCGTGTGCCCGGCGGGACCCGCAACCCAGCCAAACCTCCACACCGCATCTGCGAACCACGTGCGTGTGGATCCCCCGACAAAAGATTTACCCACGCCTCCCCATCCCCATCTGACCTTCTCCTCCATTCATTTTCCCTTTTCCTTTTCTTTTTGTCTTGAAAGATTATGCGGCCTTTGGTACAGTACGAATTCCAGGGAGTGTGAATGATGAAATCATATTTACATTATTTCGGTCATGTAATTTCACATTTTTATTATCACATTCCTTTTAAAACTCATCCAAATGTTACTTTCTCATTGCCGGAGTAGCTAGTTTCTTTTTATTGAAATGCTCAACATCTTTTTATTAGTGATGTGACACTGATTAAAAAATATAAAAAAATCATGTAATGATATAATAGATAGTATTTTAATTAATAATAATTTATTAAATATTAATAATAAAATTTTATTTAATTTAAAATAAAAATATAAAAATTTAATTAAATATAACAAAAATTAAAAATTTATTTAAATATTTTTTGAATAATTCAAATTTTTTTTAAATATTATGTCATATTTGAAATATGTGAAAATTAAAAGTACAAAGTTGAATACGAATTAAAAAAAATAAAATATTTTTAATTTTTTAATTTTTGATCAAAATTATATAAAAATTATTAATTTTTAAAATAAATGTCTTAATCTAAACGATTTTTATATTAAATATAAAACAACTAAAATGATTTTTTCTTTTTGACATTGTTTTCTTTCTCTTAGGCTGGTTGACTGCGTCCTCGGACCACCCATTGCTATCCTACGCTCTGTTGGAGAGTATCAGATTTTGTGCTCCCTTAGGAGCCCAATTGCTCCGATAAGGCTCATTTTTTGAAGTAATAAAAAAATTAATAAAATTATATAATCATAATTTTAAAAATTAATAGAGTAAAATTATTTTTTTAAAATTATCATCTCATAATATTAATGAAAACATTAGTTGTTGACTAGTAAAATATTTTTTTAAGACGAAATACTTATTTCAAAAATTAATGATTTCATTTAAAATTTTGATTAAATTTTAAAAAATAAAATATTTTACCTTAAAAAAGAACATAACTTAAAATATCTTTTCATGATTGCGATGCACGTGCATTACATTAATGGACGTAGAAAAATGAAGAACTCAAATGTAGGAACGATTGAAATTGAATAATAAAGACGTCATAAATTTATAAATTTTGGAATTTGTAGGATAGAAATATTCCCGTGGGATGATGCACTGAAGAGGGTTTTCTTTGCTTTGTTTCCTGTGAGGCAATATGCATCCAGTCGTGCGAAATGTTTCTACTTTTGCATACGTACCATCACATGAAGGATAAGGATGCCTTGGACGATGAAATCTTTCCAATGAACCAAAATTTTGTTTCAACGTGTCACCAAACAGAGCCGAAATGCTGAGTGGGTAATGTAACCCATCAACTAGGAAAATTGCACAGTAGAGAACCTTTGGATAGGATAGGATGTGGTTAAATTTGGTCCAAGTATTCAAAGTGAGTGTGTAGGCAACATAACTCACCAACCGTACAAATTTGATTGAAAACCAAGTTCAACCCTCACGCTATACTATATTACAAGCTACCACTAGGAGCAACTAAGTTACATGAAAAACAAATGGATTTGGTTTATTTCCAACATTGCCTCCCTTAAACCACGTCTTGAAGCTTCACCATGCCAATCAATGACCTGCAACGTGCCCTCGGACGGCCAAAATTACTCAACCATTATCTCATTGTCTTTGACCAGGTATTGAATGTAGTGATTTTGATATGTTTGATATCAAATATGTTTGCTGCAACTCGACTCTTCATCAATGTACTTGCCGATTTACTGTATCGAAAAACCCTTTCACCCTTACTAGCTATAGTTGAATATTTTGGATAATATATAATAGTGTGAAACACAAAAATAGGATGATGCAGACTATATGTGTAACAGTTATAGTTTGAGTGGTCTGTCTGTTGATTTACTTGATTCATAATAAAATGAGACTATTATAAAGGAATTGTGAGACATATTAGAAGTCAGGAATATGATAGAGGATGCAAATTAGTAAACAATTGCTTTCTAGTGATAATTATCAAATGATTAATGATTATTTTGTTATTGAACAATTATATGAAATTAAAAAAAAAATTAATTGATTTAAATAATATTAGATGATTATGGATGAAATCATAGTTTTATCTTTTATAATAAACAAATTGCCTCTATCCTAAAAAAAAATTTTAAATATAAAAAAGAAGAAACAACTCTTGAAAGTTTGAGTAATTATTTTTGAAATGAAAAAAATACAACAAGCAATGATAGAATTTTGATTTTGGTGAAATCAAAGTGCCTATTGAGGAAGAATTGACCATTACATACATCGAAAAGAAGTTGAAATAAATTGTTAACGGGTTGAAATTCAAAAAGAAAAAAAAAAGCGCATGCTTTTATCAAGAGGAACAATGTATTCAATTATTATGAATAGTTTTTGATATTTATAATTTTTTTTATATAATTAAGAGAGAGGAGATTCAAACCTTGTTTTTTAATGCACCAACCAATAAGTCAAATGTTTAAATGTAATATTCAAAATTTATAATTAAATTGTTTGAAATTTAATTATTAATAATATATTTTTAAATATATTTTTTATATAAATATTATTAATATTTTTAAAATATACCCAAATCAATCAAGATAAATAAGTTTGATTTTGATTATATTATAATTTGATCAATTTCAATTAATTCAATTTTTAAAACTTTAAAACAGAATTAACCTAATTTCAGAATTACTGCTTCGCCCAGATGTACTGAAAATGGAAAAAGAAAATTGCTATTGCCTTTTGAGTTGTTTCCTTGTCTACCTTTTACGGGCTTTGGAGACACCTTGGATTTGGCAAAGTCAATATGTCACGTCAAAATTATAATCCAAGAGTCCACCACCTGATCTCGAAAAATAACTCATACATAAAAGAGTGCAGCTCTCAACATATAAAACTTGGAGATATGTTTGATTTGCATAATAGAATAGAATAGGATGGGAAGGGAATAATTATTTTGTAAATATAAAATAAGAAAAGAATAGTTTAGTTCATAAAAATAAATAAAATATGAATTACTATTATAATTTATTTTAATTAAATAGCTTTAGAAATAAGCATTTAAAAATATTTTTTATTATAATATATAATTATTATATTTTTATTTTTTATTTTAATTTTTAAAATATTAATAATTTATAATTAAAATTTTATTTTAATTATAAAAATAAAATACTAATTTTATTTTTTTATTTTTTCTATTTTAATTTTTTTATTTTTTTTTGTTTTTTCATTCTTTTCACCAACCGACCTCTAAAGATATGATTGATATAATGGGGCGTTTATTTGGTGCTCCTTATGGCCGAATCTGATTGTTAGAGCATCAGATTGGTGCTTCTCGCAACTGGATCTAGCCAAGGAGCGCTAGATCAACACTTCCAACGACCGGATATGGTGAGGAAACGTAAATCAGCGTTCCTCACAATCAGCACTTTAGAGAGAAGGAATGAGGTAAAAGATGGGTAGAGAGCAAACGAAAATGTGAAAATTAAAGAAAATAATTTTTAAATTTATTTAAAGATAATTTTGTTCAACAAAAAATTTTGACCTATTTTCCAGCCTTTAATAGCTATTACTGAGGTCCCCAACCAAGCAAACTGTTAAGGTCCTTAAAAACCAAGGAAAAAAAATATCACCGGAAATACTCTTAAAAAAGATTAAATCACCTCTGGTGGGATGACATTATATGAGTAGAGATTCTTAGTCCAAGCTTTGGTGCTCTACTCTTTTATTCAACAACAACAAATAAGTCTTTTCCCACTGCCTGGGATTGACTTCATAAATCAAATTTCACAAGAATACTCTACTATTTTATCCAAAGATATAAAAGGAAAAAAAGGGTAAAGAAAGAATCAAGAGAAGCATGATTGCCATTCAAGTGTTTGACCTGCAGACATAGGGATGATATCACCAAACGAAAATGAGAAGGACTCTGGAACCTTCCATGAAGTCTTTATCAATTTAATCTTCGAGGCATTCCTCGGTAGACCATAAAAGTCTGGTCCATTGAAGCTTGTAAATGCTTCTAATTTATCAAGTGCACCCGCCTACAATAAACAAGATATGACTTGATGTAGATAAAATTGAAATGGCATTGTTCAGCTATCTGAGTATTCAATCATCCAGAAGAAAGTCTTGTATAGATTAACACCAAGAAGTAATAATTGAATTGAAAACAACTGCATTATCCACCTAACTGATTATAAAATACAATTTAGAGAACAGTAAAAGGCTATATCAATGGGAATCTAGGAGCTATTTGGACTTAATATTTTGAAAAATAAAAGCAACAATATATTATAGTGCCCTACCAAGAAAAGAAAGAGGTTCTCTACATGTGTATTTACAATATTTATCATATATTTTACACTGTTTGCTTTTCATCAAACGCTATTCCCAAAACCTGATCCCTTCTGGCAAGATGAATTGGATCAGAAGGAGCTGCATAAATAGGTACAAACTACAAACTACATGCTCAGCAAGCATTATTTCCTACAATCCCCATCAAGTCAATTGTTTTAAAGTTTAATCTAAGCACACGTAGAACCATCTCTAAAATAATCATTTGCTACTTCAAGGAGAAGCATAATATATCCCTCACAAGTTTTGAGCACAGAACTTTCTGCCAACTGTGCTGAATTGTTTTCATAATCTCACAAGAGACGGATGCTAACTTGCACAAGTTAATCAACCAGCAACAAATGTATATCTTCCTATTTGGGGCAGTAAATATCAATATTCAAATGCCTAACCTACCTCCCCTTAATCCCATTAGCAATTGGCTTGTCTCTGTTTCAATAACCTTTGCAGCATTCGTGAAAATGGTAAGAAGAAACTTACAATATAATACTGAATAAAAGTACCTCTTCAAAGACCTTGGCATATAGTGATAGCGCAACAGGGGCATTGTAAATGCCAGCACAACCACAAGCACATTCTTTTCTTTGTCTCTCATGGGGAGCACTATCAGTTCCAAGGAAAAATCTTTTGCTTCCACTAGTCACAGCTGAAACAATAGCCTGTCCTAGGTAAGAGAAGAACACATAAAAGACTGTTAAGACACAAATTTTCAAAGCAATTAGGATGAATTAATCATATAACCAATTTCAAAAACTATAAGCAACAAAAACATACTCCCATATCATAATTACATCATGTTTTACACAAAACTAAGAACTAGTAAAATGAAGCCTAATGCATAAAAGAAGGAAGTTCAACAATCCGTTCACAAAAAGCAGTGCATATTTCAAGTACAGTGGAAAATGTTGAATGGAACATACTGTGGGTTTCTCTTTTGAGTACTGGAAGGCAGTAATTATGTGGCTGCAATCCTCCTTGGAACAGAGCATTTCTATTGAGAAGAAGATGTTGTGGTGTAACAGTTGCAGCCAAAAATCCTAAAGGGCAAAAACAAAAATCTTGTGAGCTACACGAGAAAACAAGAAAGAAATAAAATGAAAGGGATGATTTCATGACTAAAACAAGAAAATGAAAAGTAAATAGTAAAATTCTTCCGTAAAAGCGTTTACGTGTACCTTCTTCACCAGACTCCACAAATCTAACAGCATCTGCAGTGGTAATGTGCTCCATCACAACCTTTAATCTTGGAAGCCTTTGAATTAAAGGTTGCAAAACAGTGTCAATGAACACTTTCTCACGGTCAAAGACATCGACATTAGGATCTGTGACCTCTCCATGAACCTATATATAAAAATTACACGTTAAATTATAAAATGAATTTATCATTGCTGTGAGCAACAGAAGTAAAGTAAAACAGAATGCTTTAGGCTCTACTTGGCTTTCTAATATTAACTCAGACATCACATATATGAAAAAGCAATCTTTAAAACATTTAAATAAAAGAGAGAGAAGGAAGCTGCCCATTAATAAAAACCTTTTAACATTTTACAGATACAGGAATACTCTTGTATATGTTAAGGTACTATATTCATGAGTTCTTTCATACTTCGTAAGCATTAAGGATAGTGTTGCTTGTTCAAGCATTCTAGCTCCTACCACATGCTAGTGCCAACTCATGATCTTTCCCATGTACAAGAGCCTTGTCGACAGCCAACAGTTAACAGTTCTCTTAGTATAGTTGCAATTACCAGTAAAGGCATGTTTTGCTCAACCATCTCTTCAAGAACTGGTAGACATTTGCCAAAAAGATCTGTAACACCATCTTGAGAGTTTGTTGTTGCACCAGCAGGGTATAACTTAACAGCAAAAACAACCCCACTTCTTCCTGTTAACACATTATGTCCATAGTGACATTGAAAATGTAAGATTCAAGTTAGAAGTAAGGAACCAAATAACAAATAAGAAGTCAGTTGTTTATTATAATGGCTCCATCATTCTAAATGAATGACTAAATCAAAAACGACTATAACTACAAAAGCCTCCAACTGCAAAACAACGAGACAGCGAGAGAGAGTGCTTTTCCACATGTTAAACAAATAAAAGGATACCTCAATACCATATTAAGAATAAGCTAGACTTACTAGCAAGCTTGATCTCATCAGGACTGGTTGTATCTGTTAAATACAGTGTCATTAGTGGAGTGAAGTTGCTATCAGCAGGCACTGCTTTCAAGATGGATTCTTGATAAGTAATAGCAGCAGCAGTGGTGGTAATTGGAGGCTTCAAATTTGGCATCACTATTGCCCTTCCAAAGTGGTTTGCACTGCAGGTATAATAGTAATTACATGAAAAATGAAAATCAATAATTGAGAATGTGATCAACAGATAACTTCCCCATAAATTGAAGATGCAATTGAACTCTCTAAGGGTGAGCAAATGGTTGCTTTGGTTAATGCAGTTGAAGATTAGTTAAAACCGAATTAACTGAACATGTAATTTTTTTGGAACTGAAACCAACCAACTGATAAGGATATTAGCTTAATTGAGAAAGCGAAATATGCCATTCAATTCAGTTGGTAAGTTCAATACCAAAATATTAATTAGTAGACTCTCTTAAGCCTAAACCTGATATAAAAAACCCATAAGAGTTTCTTTAGACTGACCTTAGATCAAAGCAAGACATTATTAATCTTTTCTCTTTTTCTCCTTTGGCTTAAATAACAAAAAAGTCCCTAAATGTTGGCCATTTCTTCAACTAAGCCCCTTATCTTTCATTATACCCAAACAAAGCCTTAAACTTTCATTTATACCCAAACAAGCCCTTAATTGTACCTCAAATAAGCCCTTAACCCTAAAGGAGAAAAAACGGCCATTAGACCCAATGCCAGTTGGCATTTTCTATCCACATGGCAACTGATGTGGCCTTTTGTCCTTCCTCTTTTCCTCTTTTTTTCTCTCACCCCTCAAAATGATGTAGTTTTGAGGAGGCTATACAAGCCTTCCCATCTTCTTCTCCCTCTTCCTCTCACTATCCTCACCTTCCCTCTCCCTCTCTCTCTCTAAGATCTACCGAGAATCCAACCATCGCCACCACCTATTGCCGACAGTCAGTGATCGACAATCGACAATTGACGGTTGTAGTTTGTTAGATTCTGGGTTCTAGGTTCTGCCATGTGGGCACATCAGCTACACATGTCATATGCCAAGTGGGCATAAATATCAATTGGCATTGGATCTGATGATGGTTAATTTTTCGTTACGTTAAGGACATAGTTGGGTACAAATCAAAGTTTAAGAGCTCGTTTGGATATAATTAAAGATGAGGGGTACAGTTGATGAAATGGCCATAATTTGGGGTTTTTTTTACTATTTAAGCCTTTCTGTTTTAACTATAAGAATAAGGTAACATTTAAAATGGCTAGTAACTTACCTTTTAAAAAAAAAAATGGCTAGTAACTTTGATGCTTAGTAAAGATTCATGAAGCAGAAAAAGCTACAAAGCAGCAAGGAGATTGAAGATTTTCATTGCAAAAAGTGGAATTGAAGATTTTGCACAAACAAAAAGAAGCAAAAATCTAAAATATGACATTATGAATCTGCAAAAATAGAAAAAATTGGAGAAAATAATGGTTATTGTAATGGAATAGATAACTAGATGCTGAAAAATCTATCAAATTTTTATAATAAATACTGTAATCAAATTTAGATATGAATTAATACAATATGAAACCACAAAAAAAAAAGGGAGTACTTTTTTTGGCCAAAAGGTAGTTCTGTGTAAAGCGAAAAAAAAAGTCTGTTCTTTCTTTTTCTGTTCTAATTGCAGAAGGAATTTATAATGAAGCCTTACAAGAAAGTGACAAATCCAACCAAACCAAAAGCATCTATGATGATGGACTGAAATAAGAAAACAGAAGAACAAAAATGAAAAAAAAAAAAGAAAAAGATTTAACTATCAATCTTAAGATAATGGGAGATTCTGAATTCAATAAGAAAGGAAGAACCGAAACTTAGTACAAACATGCCTACAAGCTGTCACTGATTTCAGGAAACCAGTAGATGTGAGTATATGGAAGGGCTAAAGGATGGGGAGTGGAAAGAGTTGAGAGAGGAACAAAGCCATCAAGTTAGGACCTGGGGATATGGGAAAATGTAAATGCCGATAGTTTCAATTGGCATTCAATAAATAGTATATTTCAAATAATAATATTGAATTTTGAATCGATTACTCGTTTGGTTCAGGTAGATAAATTTCAAAACACTAAATGAAAAACTCAATAAAACTTTGCTTATTTAAGACATTATCTGAAATACTGGCTTAAACAGGCTGTTTAAGCCAAATTGTGATGGTAATTTAACTCACTTCAGTTATGACCAAAAGTTGCACATCATTAAAGTCAACTATGAAAGAATGTTGCTGTTAAGGTAAAACAACCTGTGAGGGGCAACAGCTTGGAGAAGGTCACCATCACGGAGGTGAAGATGCCAATCATCGGGCTGAGTTAGCGTTAGCTCCATCTTTGGTCCCCTGTACTTTGATTTCGTTGACCCCTCAAATTTTGCAGAGGAGAACTTCAATGCCTACAACAAAAGAAACAGTGCAAGTATGAAGGTGAGCAAAACCTTGAAATAGAGTGATGGTCAAACATCAAAGAACAGTTAACGATGAAACCATGTTCACTGAACATAATATATGGTTATTTACTGATAAGAAACTTCATCAAAATCATTCTCTGTTATACAAAGCTAGGACTGAATAGAAATGTGAAATAAGAGATATCGATCATGATAAAGCTACTATGAACCAAACACCAGCGGGAGCAATGTTCATTTCTTTTTTCAGTTATGATTGTTGAAAGCTATAGATGTTAGTTAAAAAAAGTTGAGCTATTGACTATAATTGAAGAACAGAGTATCAGAAGACTATTCATATATAATGTCTTGGAAGAAGCAAGACACATGTTATTTTATTATAGGCTTAGAGTATGTTTTTACTATCTTGCTATTTTACTAGTTACTTTTACCATACTGATGTAATTAGTTAAAGGTTAGTTGTTAGTTATCTTCAATGTTAGTTAGTTGCTAGTTATCTTCAATGTTAGTTAGTTGCTTGTATAAATTCCCCTTGTATTAACTAATTCAGTAATGAGAAATCATTTTCCTCTCAATTGTCTCTCGACCTTTCCTTCATTCTTCTATTGGTTTTATCATTACTTTGCTGATTTTATCATGGTATCAGCGCAATTAGGTTAAGGATTTCAGAACTCTCACTACTTCGAAAACTCTTATTACTTGTTTCTGATTTCCAGTAGTTGTGGCATCATTCTTGGTGAAATTCTGTTGTTGAATCTTGCTGTTCAATCTTGTAATTTCTGAGTTCGTGATGGAAGAAAGTACAGTTGTTAAGTCTATTGTTCTCCAATTCAAGATCCACTGTCACCTTCTTTCTTACACCATTCTGATCATCCTGGATCAGTTGTAATTACCACAAAATTTAGCACAACCATGTTCCATGGAGCAGATCTTTTCTTTTGGCAATTTCAATTAGGAACAGGTTAGGGTTCTTGAATGAAACTATTGGTAAACCAATTATAACAGATTCACTGTTTGATTCATGGACAAGGTGCAACAATTTAATTGTTGCCCAGTTATTAGAGTCAATAATCCCTCCAATAGCTTTCATTGTGTTTTACATGGACTCTGCTGCAGGAATTTGGAACACTTTGAGACAATTTCTCACAGCCTGATGACACAAGGGCATGTAACCTACAATTTACTTTGGGAAACGTGTCTCAAAGAACAAGATCAGTGGATGCTTATTTTATCGAATTAAAGGGAATTTGGGAAGAGATGAGGAATTATAGACCACTGCCACAAAGTGAATGTGGTAAATGCAATCCTAATTGTTTTAAAAGGTATTCAAATCAATATCAAAAGGATATACATTTTAGGCTCTTGAATGGTTCAAATGATTCTTACTTTGCTATAAGGTCACAAATAATTTTATTGGATTCTATTCCACTTTGGATAAGGTAAATAGTATGGTGTTGGGGGAAGAAGCACGAAGAAACTTGCTTTGATACCATGATAAAATCAACAAAAGTAATGATAAAACCAGTAAAAGAACGAAGGAAAGTTTGAGAGACGATTGAGAGAAAAATGATTTCTCATTTCTGAATTCGTTAATATAAGGGGTATTTATACAAGCAATTAACTAACATTGAAGATAACTAACAACTAACCTTTAACTAATTACATCAGTATAGTAAAAGTAACTAGTAAAATAGTACGATAGTAAAAATACACTTTAAGCCTATAATAAAATTACACGTGTCCTGCTTCTTCCTAGACTTTACAGATGAATAGTCTTCTAATGCTTTGTTCTTCAATTACAGTCAATAGTTCAATCTTTTTTAAATAAGATCTGTAACCAAGGTCAACCAATGTTAGATTCTTTTGCTATGGCAGTTGTAACAGATGACAAAAAGAGATTCAAGAAAGATGTCATTTGTTCTCATTGCAATAAGAAAGGCCACTCAAAGGAAAAGTGTTATAGGTTGATAGGTTTTCCTGAGGATTTCAAGTTTAATAAAGGAAAAAATGCATACAAGAGAGACAAGTCAGTGAATAATGTTTCACTCATTGAGGGAAAACAATTTGTTATGGAGGGAATATAGCCTGCACAGGATGATAAGGTTGTTGGAAATAGCACCATGTTCCAAATGTCATTCATTAAGCAGCAAGTTAGTAAGTTGATGAGTCTCTTAAATGAGAATTATATTAATAATGACGATGGTAAGGAAAATCCTACTACCACTCAACAAAGCAAACATTCTTTAGTCAATTCTACATTTGCAGGTATCATTTCTGGTCTCACTTGTTTCAGTAATTCTAATAACCTTCCATCCAAATATCGAAATGTGAATACTTTCATGATTAAACATAATTCTTGGATAGTTGATACGGGGCCCAGAAATCATATTTCTTATTCTTTGAATAATTTTGGTTTTGCTAAACTTGTGTCTAAGGTAGCGTTTGGTATGAGGGAAGTGAGAGCACATTCTTTGCAACGTGCCCAATTAAATTATATTGCAATGTTTGTTTTGTAACAGACCACT